TTGATTGGCAAATCCACAAACCAAACCCAGAGGTATGGGGGTGGAGAGTTGCTGTTTCAATAACTTGAACAGTAAATAGTGAGAATACTCCTCTTCCTTTACTATGATACTATACTGTATACTGTATATATATATATATATAGACACACACACACACTTCATATAGGCTAATACAGTCTGATATGCAGATCCTCTGAATGAGCACTGAGCTCACTTTTGGTTGCACCTCAGAGATTCATGGTGACTGTTGACCAAATAGGCAAAATTGCGACTCGGGAAGACAACTCACGATGACCATCCTGAGGAGTCTGCATGTGATTTGGAGAAACAACTGTAGGAGCATAGATTCCTTCCACATTTCAGTTGTATTTTAGACCGGTATATTGCATGGCATATTATATGGCATATTTTCCTAAATGGCGAAAAGCAGCTGATATCTTTACCGTTACCTGCATTCCAGTTTCCCACTAAGATGGGCGTATCGTGTGGCTCTGTGGGTCAGGGTGCTGCGCCTGTGATTGGACACTCACTGGTTCAAACGCTGTTGTTGGTAGTGTGATTTCACCAGAGGGCTAGATCTTGCTTTTTGAAACATACATCTGCTACACAAGTGTACATGTTTGTCATGGTTGACAGAAGGAAAGGCATAAATACAGGAACAGCAAGATGATTGTCTTATTTTTGTACCTTTCCCTCACTTTCTCGTATGTGTCTTGTACTTACTGTATCTGTTACAGATCCCTTCAATTGCCTGTATTTCTGTTTGACTTTAAATGACAAGATAAAAACAACCATTATTAATGAAAAAAGGCAAGAACTTCCATCCTCTTATCCTTCAAGACTTTGACAGTGTCAACATAGGAAACCACACACACAGACACATATTCAGTCTGAGTAGATTTAAAACTGTAGAAACTAAAAAAAGAATCAATTCAAGGATCTTAGAAACCCTGTTTTCCATTCCAATGTTACAAAACTTTCAGCACCCTTATGATGAATGAACCCAGTGCTTCTGAGGTAGGCCACGTCAAAGGCAACAACTGCGTATCGATCCTTAATGAGGAAGCCGCAGCCTCAGTCTGCCAGCCTTCTCTTGGTACCATGATCTCTGATCACCCACAATATGAAAAGACAAACTGCCTCTGTATTTTACAGGGAATTTCATCTTGCTGCTCAAGGAGAACCAGTGACTCTGTTGTATCAGAAACGTCTTCAAACTTTCAAACCGGGGTTGTTTCAAGAGACGCTCTATAAAGACATTTCTACAGCTGAATTACGAATTCATATGTAGACAAGTACTGTAGACAGACAACAAATTGGTAATGAAAAACAACACAATACTCCCAGCTGATTTTGAAATATGTTCTCATTCATTATACAGTATATAATAAAGTTTTGAGACTACTGAGCTCTGTTATATATGCATGGCGGTTGATATAACAATACACAAAAGTACACACATGAACCATACCAATTTAAGTATGGCTACGCTTATTGAACTGTGTTCACCAAAGCTAGATATACTTACTTCCAGTGCCAAAAACAGTTAGACCAACACTGACAATGGTTTCCAAAAGAGTAGCCAGATTAATCCCTAAAAAAGATCCCAGGACATAAATCCTGCCTGCCACAGACATGTGACATGTGACATGATCTGCAATGCTAATCTGGAGGGAGCAGCCTTGACAATTCAAATCACTGCTACTACTGTGTGACACTGCATATTACGACCTTCTAAGGACACTCAACAGAAAACCATGCTGTCCATATTAATAAATGATGTTGTTTTTATCATGTTCATACTGAATACAGTGAATTAAAGATTATTACATAAATCTCCTGATTGAAATTCTTTGAGCTGACCATGATTATTTTGCATAATGTCATATTTCTGCCACTATTTCCATGTCGTTTTCTATCGTATAATGTTTGATTGGCGCTCATCCAATGACGTCATCTCATTGCACTTCTGGATCGATCTGTACCTCATACATGCACAGCATTACACTTTACGGCTTATTTTACAATGGTGCCAGATTTGTACCACTTCATTTCACGATATTTTCACAACCCAACCTGATCCTGTTAATATTTCTTTTTATGAAAGTGTTCATTTAATACACTACTTGTGAGCAGTCTTCACCAGCCCAGAATGAGATATACCGCCAGAAATTCTGATTTTGGATACTTTGTCTCTGTTCTCTGTCAGTTTATTAAATGATCTGCATACCACCTGTACTTGTGTCTGAGTGTGTGTTCATGAGGTCGTTAAGTACCGCAGTCACGATGGGGTGATTGTTTAGGTCCCTGATGGCTGCCACTATTTATGCTGTAGCAAAGTCGGTAGATTATTCCAATAGTACAAGCAACTAGAGAAATGTATGTTTTGTCCATTTTTTTCTGATCCCACAGATTTGGACTGACATATTTATATCTGAAACAAACGCAAAATATGCCAAACTTCATATTTCATTTCAGAGTGAACCTAAGCTATAAGTATACCAAAATAACTGGTAGCTGGATAGCAGCGATTTCAACTGATGGAAATATAATCTAATATTTCAGATATGGCATATTTAAATAATGACAAGCAAAGAAAATGGATTGTTTTTTCAGTCAGTGGAATCATTAACACCAGGGGCCTGCATCACGATTCAGCTGGATGTCTTGCTTAGCTGGAAAACTTGTCGGATTTAAGCTATCCCAGTTTAAATGGACATTATCTTCATTTACATACATTTTGCCCAGACTACTTTCATTCAGACAAGTTTATCTGGCTTAGTTTGCTGCAAATGAAGACAGTATAGTTTGCTATAAAATAAACGGATCTGGCTGTGCCAGAAAATGCGATGCCGTGCATGTATGCGCGAAAATGCTGCGTATGCGCTGACGTGCAAGGGACAATCGGGTAGGCGGTACAGATCGGTTAGTGACAACACCACTCTTGAGGCGTTTAAAATCTTATTTTTTATTTACGTCCTATCTGCCCTGTACAGTTTTTGTTTATGAAGCCTAAAAAGGCAAACAGAAATGCGGTTTGATGTACAGTATATGTTGCAATGTTCAATGCTAATTAATAGATTTTCTAAGGTGTACGTGTATTATTAAGCTATGTTTAGGCTACCTTGATAATACAGGATTGCTAACACTCACGCATCTGACGTGACACTCACGCTTTCCGACTCTCAAACTTACGCAAGACATCTTACAGCAAATCTATATTATTCCATTATAATTCCAAAATGTACTACATCACAAGCATTGGGGAAGTTTGCAAACCCTACAGACTGTTTACACGGTAATAGAGCTGTCACATACATATAAATGCGCGGACTTGTCTCGAATTGAAAATCTCACGCCAGCCAGCTGACCAAGGTTGGTAACCCTGATAACGTTGTTATAAAATTAACAGAAAAAGACAATTTAGTAGTTAATTGCGATTATTTGTATGACAACAAAAAAATAAAAATCATAATCACGACAGCACTCAACACAAGCAGTCAGAAGCGAATTTTTGACTTGATATTCAGTTCACACCAACGTTGAGGAGCAGTTTAAGTGTGGCCCAAATCACAATGCCGTAACCCTATAAGGAGACCAGGAAAACAAGCATTTTAGTGACGACGCTCCTGAGAGACAGAGGAGCCCCTGACAGAGCTGGTTTGCTGGGGGCTTTGCTCTAACCTCATAGTGGGCCACCCTCTGGGACTCGGAGATGAGCTGGGCGCTGCACACCTTGCAGTAGCTGTCAGTGAACAGCCCCTGGTCCTCGTCTGTAGACTTCATCTGGGAGGAAACCAAACACAGTTAGTGTCACTGAGACAAAATGCAGCCTGAAAATGACACACTGAAAATACATACATAAGCCAGTGCTGGATCTTACAATTAAATAATGCATCACTGTACCAACAGACAGGCAATACTGCAGATTCTTCAGCTGTTTTTTTATTTTATTTTTCATTGATTTACTGAGATTGATTTACCTAGACTAGACATTTCTTGTTGTGAAGCATTAACCAAAGAATGCACCTGCTTTTGACATATTCTTTTATATATATATATATATATAAATATAAAAATATATAATAAATGGCTTAGAAATCACTTTTTTAACATCAAACATTGAATCTGTTCTTATTCACAAAAAGCCCCATATCAAGGCGTGGTATTGTTAAAAAGCTATTTGCATGAAACATCAAAAAGAAAATGGCTTCAAAAAATGCCTCGGGTATTAAAACACAAATATTATATCAGTGAGAAATACAGGTTGAAGAGAGATGCAATGTAAGATACCAGATGCACTTTCTAGGGCTCCCGTTCACTATTCTGCCTTTTATAACGTGGGGATTTGATCAGTCTAACTTCTTTACCATGAAGTCAGTCCTCTTTTGCTCCACACGGTCCTGTTATATATTTGCAGACATATGTGCATCCTTTACTTTTGTTGATTGCTTCTCTAGCTTCTGTCTGAACTTTAAATGAGGTACAGTGTGTTAGAAGATCTGCTCCCTCCCACGTCTAAATTTACAAAGCTAAAATGGGAATCGGTTATATGAAAGGTTTCTCACTCTGTAGTCATTTAAAATTTAGTTGCAAAAGAGAATCCTACCAAGCACACCAAGTAACTCAGCCTTAAAGGCCTATCTGGATAATTCATTATTTACCATCACTGCTATTATCAAAGTCAATGTTGAAATAGCTGGATTTTGACCAAACCCAGTTTAAGTCAATTGCTCAGTATCAGCAGAATACTTTAAACCAAATTCCCATCCTTTCCTGTTATACTAAGCAGAAAAGTAACCTATTTTTGCTATTGGTTTTTTTGTGCCAAACAGGACCACTGGCTAATTTATTAATATTCCTCCTGCTGCCGTCGTGCCACCTCCTTGCAATCAGTAGGTGATGGAATATGGTCCTGCGGAGAATGAGATAACTGGCATGAATGACTTTTCTTTCTAAAACTATTTATTTGCGTGGTGAATGTTCTTGATGGCTTTTTTGCATTCAGTTCAAATTTTCCATAAGAACAAGCATACAGCTGTGAAATTTTGGCCAAGTATTATGCGCAGTATATATATTTTTATTCATTCATTCTGGAAGCATGTGTTGAAAAAACAGATTTAAAAGAAATTTCAAATGTGAGTTTTTAAAATTAATACCGTCAACGTTCACCATGCATACGTTTCTTGTTTTATACCCCGAGCTTCCACTGAGCCTCTGAATGATGTTATTTAATTTTGCTATATAAATATTCAGATACAATACAATAATTCAGGCCCTGCAGAGACGATACTCTGGGAGCGTTTACAGTGACACCTTTGAACCATCAGGGTCTTAGAAGTCTAATAGTGAGGTTTACAGTAGCAAAAGACATCCAAGCTCTTGCATTAGAATAATTCATTTGGCATGGAAAAACTGACAAGGACGGACTTGGAAATAAATGCCACAGAGAGGACATTAGGAACCACAACAACTCAGCAAAAGCAAGGCTTCTTCATCAGCAAGAGGAACCACCTCCTGGCAGAAGCCAAGTGCCTTAAATGAAATGTCTTGGAGTATTTATCCACTTGGCTGAGTATTAAGCATCTATTGCAGCCCCAGCTAGAATAGGTGCTTACTGAACATTCACTCAGCATGAGTTCTCTCTGAGAAAATATTTTGATGTGGTCTCACAAACGTTCTGGCTACATAAATAATAACAATTTCCTAACAGCACAACACATAAATAATATATTTAGCATTGCATTCATCATTTCAAATTTGTTTGGTCTTGTCCACATATAAATAATCTTTCAATTACAGAAATCATATGGAGAATTGGAACTAGCAGAGATCAGAACAAAGAACAAACCTCGTTACACAGCAGGAGCTTAAAAGAGCTTCTGAGTATTGTTGACCTTGGACTAACTCAATGCAGCACTAGATAAACTGCTTGGCCTCATCTAAATATCGAGCATCTACATACCAAAGAGGCGAGGTGGGCTGAATATTCTCCTTGCTTTTGCATGTTAGCATTTATGTTATTCAGCAGAAGAAAACTCCTTCTGCAACTGGTCCTGAGTCAGCAGCCCTCACAACACTCCATCTAGAGCTCATTATGCATACAAAAAGCATTTTATAATAAAATTTCAAGGCGTCTTTTATCTAATACTTTTATAGGGACCACTAATATAAATAATACAGCTTCCTTCAAAGCAGCAAACATTACTGATCATATCAATTACAACACACGTGTGGTTTGGGTACTTAATTTTGCTACTTAGACTATAATAAGCACATTTCTAAATAGAACAGTAATTTCTTTCCTTCATCCTTCGTTGCGAGAAAGTCTGGCTTTTTCATTTTGTTGCAATGAACATGATTATGAGAATAACTGAACATTTAATGGGATTTCACAAGAGACTAAGATCACATTAGACTAGAATGAGTTTGTATTGTGAGAAAATAAGGCAATAAAAGCAAAAGAAAAAAACTGACATTCTCAAACTTCAAAGTCGTGTCTCAGAATAATGTAAAACCACATACTGTACATCCTTACAAGTACAAGCACTCAAAATAGTTTAACAAGAAAAATATAGCAGAAAAACACAACAGGATGTTGAAGTTATTCTTGCCTACTATTGCCAAAATATGAATGCAATTACCCAAGCAGTTTAAATGACTAAAATCATCTCCAAGAATAACCTAGTAAATTCATTTCACTTCCTTTTCAACTCTACTTTCCCTTTTCCCCGGGAAAAAAATAGGAAGTCTCTGAGTTCACCATCACCAGGATGTCCATAATCACTTTTTCATTCCCTCTCTCCAATCAGGTGTAAACATCAGCAGTCTGGCAGAGACAGGACCGCTTCAGGGTGATGCCCAGCGTGGTCTGACACGTTAAAGTCTGCAGTTTTCCGTGAAATCTAAAGGCCCGAGCTCTGAAGCTGGACAGCAAAGCATGAAGATGCAATGCACTTGGTCCTGCCCAGGTTTTCTATGGTGGCTCACCGACTGCCAACAAATACAGAAAAAAACATCAACCAAGGAAGCTATAAAACACCTAAGACACCTTTCCAGGTGTCCAAAATTCACACACCTACTAGAGTTTGCATCGATATACGGGACTTACTTCAAACAAACAGATGTAAAGGTAATAAATAGAAGGAACGCTTTATAAAAGATGTGAACATAAACTTTCTCATTTTACATTTTACATTTTGATATCCCACAATCTGTAGATCTGTTGAGCAAATATTTTTCGATGTCTATTCTAATTGTTTCAGTTTAAAATACCAAATTAGCACCTAACGTGAGACTGGAATCTATAGTTACTGAAGTTGGACCAAGACCTAATTCACATGTTACAATAGGCCTAAATTTACGCAATGTTTTTATTTATTTTTTTTTGCTGTAACAGAACATGTATTTGTCGCTATCATTTTCTGTTCAGAACACATGAAGTGAAATGAAAGAATACATGTCTTGACACAGGAGGAACCTAAATTCAGAGGTAGTTGTTAAACACGTGTGGAAGAGTAATTGAAAGCCAATTCCCAAATGACAATAATCATTGGGCTTATTATTCTGACTTATCTCTGGACAGGATAACGTCCGAAAAGAAGACGCATCATAAGAACAAAGCACACGATTGTTGTTTTCCACACATAATAAAAGGTGGGGCAGTTTCCTTGTGATTTCTTAAACAAGATATACAATGCTTAATTGCAGCTGAGAAAAAAAGGTAATAGCTATTGCATTTCCACTAGATGGCACCTTCAGTCGGTAACACAAAATGACCAATCCTATGTATATATCCCAAGAAACCTGGTATTTATCCTTCGGCTAACCTTTGGCAGTACAGCACGTTGGGGACACATTTTTCTGTATGATGCTTCCATGCTTCTGTGCCCCACTCACCCGCCACTTGCCGATGCCATGAGGCAGCCACCGTTCTTAAAGGGGCAGCACCAGATTTAATCAAAACAGGGCAATGGTACACAACTTGGCTACACACGGAAAATGTTACGCTCATTGTGGCTATGAGTTGCTTATGGCCAGTACTCGTTACAGTTATTCAAAGTGGCAAAGCAAGTGGTGCGGGAATCGTGGAGTGTTAATTCATGAGACATCACCTGAATGAGTCTGCTACAGGAAATGGGCAGAAACAGCCTCTGCAAGTTAGTCTCCCCTTGGCATTTAAGGTGCTTTTGGCAGGAAATTCAGACCAGGCTAAAAAATAACTACAGCTATGGGGTGTTTGTTGAGTAGGAATGGGCGACACCTCTGATTATCTCTTTGATCCGACACAAACTAGTACAAAGGTCTGAAGGAAAAATTAGCTCAAATAATTTGCGTGAAGACCAATATGTAGGAAGATTATTATTTCATTATTTGTTGATCGATGAGTATTATTACTTAACTATAATGTTTGAATGGTCCATTTCTCCTCAAAGTGTATGACAGGATTCCCAATTAGCCAATTCAGGGGAGATTTAGCTCCCGATTGTGAATGTGATTCACTATGTAACCTGGGTTAGAATGATCATCTACCTGGTGAAATATTGTTGGTGATGTAGTGATTATGTAACAAAGTTCATCTCACTGGTCTCACACTATTTTAAGGCAAGCTTGGAATTTTAAAGTTCAGTGGCAATTTTGCACCAGAGAAGAGACTTGGTGTGGACAAACACTGAGGTGGAGATTTAGGATGTATAAAAGGCATGCATCTATTCCTAACACTACAACTAACACATGACAGAAATTACACATAACATAAAACAAAAAAACAAAAACAGAATAAAATT